AAAGTTGGCAATATAAGCACTGGACACAGAAGATATGCACAGTCTCTTCAACAAATGGTGCTGGTTAAACAGGACAGCCACATGCAAAAGACAGAAACGGGACCACTTTCTTTCACTATACACAAAAATAAACTCAAAATGGATGAAGGACCTAAATGTGAGACCATCAAACTCCTAGTATAGAACACAGGCAGTAATCTCTCTGACATCAGCCATAACATTTTTCTAGATATATCTCCAAAGGTAAGGGAAACAAAAGCAAAAATAAACTCCTGGGACTACATTAAAATAAAAAGCTTTTGCACAGTGAAGGAAACCATCAATAAAATAAAAAGGCAACCTACCCAGTGGGAGAAGGTATTTGCAAATGATATATTTGATAAAGAGTTAATATCCAGACCATATAAAGAACTTCTACAACTCAACACCAAAAAACCACAAATAACCCCATTAAAATATGGGTAGAGGAAGGGCCCCCTCAGTGGCTCAGTCAATTGAGTCTCTGACTCTTGATTTTGGCTCAGGTCATGATCTTGGGGTTGTGAGATTGCGCCCTGCTACAGGCTCTGTGTTCAGCAGGTGGCCTGCTTGGGATTCTCTCCTTTCTACTCCCTCTGCCCCTCCCCCTGCTCTGGCATGCTCTCTCTCTCCCTCAAATAAATATATTTTTTTAAAATTGGGGACGCCTGGGTGGCTCAGTTGGTTAAGCAGCTGCCTTCGGCTCAGGTCATGATCCCAGCGTCCTGGGATCGAGTCCCACATCGGGCTCCTTGCTCATCAGGGAGCCTGCTTCTCCCTCTGCCTCTGCCTGCCATTCTGTCTGCCTGTGCTTGCTCTCTCTCCCTCTCTCTCTCTGACAAATACATAAATAAATAAATATTTAAAATTGTGCAAAGAACCTGAACAGACATTTTTCCAAAGAAGACATACAGATGGCCAACAGATACACGAAAGGATGTTTAAGATCACTCACCATCAGGGAAATGGAAATCAAAACCACGATGAGATAACACCTTACACCTGCCTGGATGGCTAAAACAAAAAAGACAAGAAATAAGTGTTGGTGGGGATGTGGAGAAAAAGGAACCCTCATACACTATTGGTGGAACATAAATTGGTATAACCACTGTGAAAAACAGTGTGGAGTTTCCTCAAATAATTAAAAATAGAAATACCATATGATCCAGTAATTCTACATAGGATGTTTACCCAAAGAGAAAAGGAAACACTAATTTGAAGGATATACACCTCTATGTTTATTGAAGCATTATTTACAATAGCCAAGATATGGAAGCAACCTGAGGTACCATCAACAGATGAATGGATAAAGAAGAGGTGGTAAATATATATAAAATGGACATTACTCAGCCAAAAAAAAAAAAAAATGAGATCTTGCCCTTTGTGACAACATGGATGGATCTAGACAGTCTCATGCTAAGTGAAATAAGTCAGAGAAAGACAAATGGCATATGATTTCATATATATGTGGAATCCAAGAAACAAAGCAAACAAACAAACAAACAAAAAGCAGAAATAGACTTGTCAATACAGAAAACAAAGTGATGCTTGCCGGAGGGGAGGGAGGTGGGGAAATGGGCAAAACAGGTGAAGGTGGAGTGGAAGAGGCTTCCAGTTATGGGATGAATAAGTCATGGGAATAAAAGATACAGCATGGGGAAGAAAATCAATGAAGGGAAAAAAGGAGAGAAAAGCTGAGAAATTCTGGGCACAGATTGTGGAGGAAGTGGAAAAGGGAGGTATACAATTAAAGGGAGGACTTGACAGTTTTGTTTTGTTTTTTAAGATTTTATTTATTTATTTGTCAGAGAGAGTGAGCACAGGCAGACAGAGTGGCAGGCAGGCAGAGCGAGAAGGAGGCTCCCTGCTGAGCAAGGAGCCCGATGTGGGACTCGATCCCAGAACGCCGGGATCATGACCTGGGCCCAAGGCAGCCACCCAACCAACTGAACCACCCAGGTGTCCCGAGGACTTGACATTTTATAGGTCAATTACCATGTATTGTTCTGTATTCCTTTGAACATTATTTTGAGACATTGTGCACATTATCTCTCAAGTAGGTTTTAATCTACTTATGCTATCATTTGAATCCACAAAAAAAGGTACAGTACTTCAAACACATTCCATACATTCTGATTGAATTATGAAGCCTTGAACAAGCCCATCACACAGCCCCTGGAATCCAGGATCAGCCATGGTAAGCCAACAAGACAAGCATGTGATGCAGGTTGCCTATATAGCAATGTCTCCACACTGTGTAGTACATATTAATAGCTTTTATGTTATTGAATTAATTTTAACCTCAGGATGTTACTGGAAATTTTATTTTTTATACTTTTTCTCATTGGATAGACTGATGAGTGTGGGAATAAAGGGGGGGTATAGAGAAATAATGTCTAGAAACAGAAGTTTGTGGGAAGGGAGACTTCCCAGTCAACCCACTTTATCTAGGAAAGCTTCCTGCATGAGTCAGAGTTGATTTGAGAATCATCCAGAATTAACAATAGGAGGAGGGAGGATCTTTTTCAGGCTTGTGGGAAAATGAGAGCAGGATAAGCAGAGATATTAAAACTCTTCAGAGTCTCTGATCTTATTAAAAAAAAAAAAAACTTACTGTTGGGCTGAATGAGAGTGAATTGTGCTTTGACAGGTGTTTGAGATGCCACCAGAGCCCTTAAAAAAACTTGACGGTGAAGACACTGGAAACTAGTGATGGAAAGTGACAAAGGAAAGATTCTCTATTAACTGAAAGTACAATAGTCCTCCTTAACCATAGGGGATTTTTCCAAGACCCCCGCGGATGCCTGAAAGTGCACACAGTCCCCAACTCTACATGTACTATGCTCTGTCCTATGCATACATAGATATGATAAAGTTTAATTTATAAATTAGGCGTGTTTAGAGATTAATGACAATAATAACGGACCACTTATAGCAATGTGTTGTAATGAAAGTTATATGAATGTGGTTCCTCTCTACCGAAATATATTATTGTACTGTACTCACCCTTCTTGGGATGACATGGGATGATAAATTGCCTATATGATGAGATGATGAGAGCCGAATGACAGAGGCATGGTGAAGTAGCCTCAGGCTGCTGTTGACCTTCTGGACCATAGATCAGAGAATTATTTGCTTTCGAAACTGTCTTTGGCACTGGTAATTGAAACCCTGAAAGTGAAACCGCACAGAAGATGGGACTACTGCATAGCCAAAATGAGGTAATAGCTCATACAGTGTTTACTATGAAACAGACACCATTCTAGGAGAATTAACTGTATTAACCCATTTACTCACAACAATGCTGTCAGGTCACCCTCATTTTATAGATGAAGAAACCAAGGTACTGAGAGATTGCTTAAGTAAATTGGCTGAGGTTGCTGATCTGGAATTTGAAGCCAGGCATCGACTCTAGAATCCATACTTTCCTTTTTTTTTTTTTTTTAAATTTTATTTATTTATTTGAGAGAGAGCGAGAGAGCAGGAGAGGCAGGGAGGGGCAGAGAGTGAAGGAGAAGCAGACTCCTGCTGAGCAGGGAGCCAGATGTGGGACTCCCATCTGGGACTCTGGGGCCATTGAGCTGAGCTGAAGGCAGCCAAGTAACCCACTGAGCCACCCAGGCAACCCTAGAATCCATACTCTTAACTAAGGTGCTGACTATATCTTCTTCTTAGAAAAAGAGGAAACGATGGCATAAATTCTGGAACTTCTTTGATTCCTCATACTGGTAATTTAAAACTATGGTGGCATTGTAATGTGAAATACAGAAACTCTACTTCATCCCTATTGCTTATTCTTTTTGGCTTTCTAACCATCTCTCTCTCTCTCTCTCTCCCTCTCTCTCTCTCGGGTGATTCCGAGTTTAAATGTAGCTGACCTCAGATCTATTAAAAAAAAAAAAAACAGACTAATGTATATTTGCTTTAAAAAAATCGCATAGTTTATTCATATTTGAAAGAAGGTCCACTGAGGCTTTTAAGTTAAGGATCCAAGATAAACAGAGTTTTGGCTTTCAAGAGTATTGAAATACCTTTCAGCTATGTATTGGATTTGGCGGGCTAATGTTGATTAAATTGCAGCATTTGGAAAACTATTCAGTAACGGTTAATAAACTAATTACTAGAGGTCACAAGAATTGCCAGAGACAGTCTTTTTTTCAATCTCCTTATACTCCAGAGTGTGAAATACAGTAGGAAAATGATGCAACTTCCAAATTAGGAGGATGGGGAATGGTACCGGAAAGTAACTTTTCTGCCGGGCTCCAGAGTTTGTAACATATTTCAGCTACAAATTAGAAACGCGATAATGACATCTCATTCTTCTACAGACCGTCAGAGTTACCCAGGCTAAATGGAAAACAGATCTTAACTGGAGTCAGAGTTGCTGTTCTTCAAATAAATGCGCATGGGTTTCTTGAAAAGCCACAGCTACCAACTCTAATCCCGGTCCACAACTGCTTTTTTAAAGCCTCCCCCAGAAATGCACTCCTTCAGCCTTGGCCCTTCCTGGATATACCCTCCGCAGCTTTCCCCAGTCCCCGCCCTGGACTTCAGCCTATGCACCCCGAGGCCAGCTTGGAGGGAGGAGACGCAGAGAGGAGGGAGAGAGGAGAGCGAGCGAGCGAAATGGTCAAGTCCTCCTTAACTCCGGGCCCCCTCGCGGGCCTCACCCCTCCTCCCGGGGGCTGAGATTGGAGAGGAAGTGGGAAGGCTCCAATCTGTTCCTCACACCAGCGCCCTCATGCCCCCACCCTTCTCCTCCGCTCGGGGCTTCGGCGCGCCTCATCCCCGCCCCTCGCCCCGGGAGAGGAGCGCGCGGCGCTGTAGGGCTCGCGGAGAGAGGCCTGGGGGAGCCGACAGCGCCCGCTCGGCAGCAGGAGCCCGGAGCCGCCCGCCCACAGGCGAGACAGGCCCGAGGGCAGCCCCGGAGACCGCGGCGGCCGGATGCGCGGGCGCGTCACTTCCGGGCGGTGCAGCGGCGGCCGCTTGGAAGATGGCTGCGCCCTGTGGCTCGGAGCTGCCCGCCAACTCGCCGCTAAAAATCCCGAAGATGGAGGTGCTCTCCCCGGCTTCTCCTGGTGGCCTGAGCGACGGAAATCCATCGCTGTCCGACCCTTCCACGCCTCGGGGTGCCTCCCCGCTCGGGCCGGGCAGTGCAGCGGGCTCGGGGGCAGCGGCGTCCGGGGGTCTCGGGCTGGGGCTGGGGGGCCGCAGCGCCGCCTCGTCCTCGGTCTCCTTCTCCCCTGGTGGCGGCGGTGGCGGGGCTGCGGCAGCCGCCGCCGCCGCCTGCCGGGGCATGTCGTGGACGCCGGCCGAGACGAACGCGCTCATCGCAGTATGGGGCAACGAGCGGCTGGTGGAGGCGCGGTACCAGCAGCTGGAGGGAGCCGGCACGGTGTTCGGCAGCAAGGCCCCTGGGCCAGCCATGTACGAGCGCGTGTCCCGGGCCCTGGCCGAGCTGGGCTACGAGCGGACCCCGTCCCAGTGCCGGGAGCGCATCAAGGTAACCGGCCGCCCGGCCTGGGGCAGCGAACCAGAGGCAGAGAGAAGGCGGGGAAGCGGGCCTCGGGGGCGGGGGCCGGTCTGAGCGCAGGGCTCCCCTCCGGGGCCCGGTGGGCGATTCGCATCTCCTCCGCCTTTTTCTTCTCTCCCTGGGAAGGGGGCTTTTTTCCAGATGGCCGCCAGCCCGTAGGTTTCCTGAGTTTGAAGTTGGGCGTGCCTGCCGCCGCCCCTCTTTCTTGCCAATTGAGGATGTTCCTGCGCTCTGAAGTTGGTAGTTTCTCATTGTGCGCTGTGCGGCAGTCCCCGTGTCGCTGGCGCCTCTCGCCCCCACCGCCGGGGCCCCTCGCTTTGTTCCAGGCCGAGGGGCTCCCAGGCAGAGGCTTACCAGCCGGGGCGGGATTGAGGAAGGGTAGAAGAGGGGGGCCGGTGAGCCCCCAGTTTAGGAATTTTCAAATGAGTGGCTGTGCAGAGCCATGCAAAAAGCGCCTTTGGACGACTGGCCTTTGTGTCAGTCGTCTTGCTTCTAACTTGAGCTTCGAAGGACGAATAAGACTTGAGATGCTTTGGAGAATTGGAAAGGCTTGATTGCAGTCAGATAGTGTATTGTTATCGTGGAGTTAGGGGCGCAATTAAAGTTAGCCTGGCTGAGAGTTGGTCTGGAATTTGTGGAGTGTCGATGCCTCCAGAGTTAGATTGGCTTGAGGCCCTGCTATGTTTCTGACTAAGCTCCTTCACGAAAGCCAGTTTTCCCTGCTTTAGTTATTTTGCCGGATGTGGTGACAAGTACAGCTCTCATTGTGCATCTGGCTATCTTTGTGTATCTGAATGTTTAACTACAGAGGCTTAATTTGGGCTAGAAATTTTTATCACCAGCCAGGTTATCTTTTCGCTGTTTCTACTGACTTTTAATCTAGGCTTTCAGATTTGTATTATTGGCAGCTAGGGAGTGGTTTTATAGATAAGCTAGTTCCCTCATCATAGTGTCTGCTAAAACATTCTGTTAGGATTCTTTCTCCCAGTTTTCAATGAACTACTTCTTGTTAAAAGTCAAAGTTATGTGTGTACTTCTTTTCTGATAGGGATGACACTTTTTCAGAGCTCTTTGGGGGTAAAAATCCAGTGAGAACAATCACAGTCACACTAAAATCAGAGATTGCTCCCAAGTTGAGGAGATCTTGGCTCAAGTAGTGTTCATCCTGGGGTAATGTTTCTTAGAAAATTTGGGTCAGAAACAGATATTTCAAACTTACTATTGTTCAAGGAATTTGGCACCCATTTCTCAATTACAAAATTGAGTTGGTTTACTTGATAACATGTACCTTTAGGTCTTCTTTTGTCCCCTCTTCCCTGCCCCTCCTCCCCACTTAATAAGATGTCATTAAAATAATTGTTTATAGACAGGACTAAAATAGTACCTAATAGTAGCCACTGTTTCATTTTTCTATTAAAGAATAGTTATAAGTTCAATTTCAAGGTCATCAAGGTTAAATTGCACTGTGCTGATTAGCATCCACCCATCAGCTTTTCTTGACTTTAGAAGTGTACTTAGGCATTTGTAATGGTTTCAGCTTGATCGATTTTGCCCATAGAAATTTCCCAAATGGAAAAAGTGTTGTGCTGTCAAAACCTCACTGAATAGAAATCCCTCCATAAAATTGTTTCTCAAGTAACCAGGAAATATCTAGTTGGGTTGCATCTTTGTCTCGTTATGAGAAGCATAACCTAAAGGAAGAACAGAGATTAGGCTTCTCTGAAGAATTTTTAAAAGAGGGTCAGTTGCCTGTTTTCAAACAGGTAAGACCAAATTGACCTCAACCTCTTAGAATATTTGGAAAATATGTTGATGATAATGGATTCTCTGATCAACAGTTGTAGTTGATGAAGGGGACAGATAACTGTGTGTGTGTGTGTGTGTGTGTGTGTGTGTGTGTGTGTGTGTTTTCTCTACTTGTTAAGTGATTTCAACCAAAGAACCGGATTACTTCATTATAGGAATGTTGGTCTTTCCTGCCAGAATTATAAGTACCATAAGGCAAGTTCTGGTTTCTCTTATTCAGTAATGTATCTCCAGGGTCTAGCACATAATAGTCACTGGATACGTATTGATTAAATTTACCAAATAAAGTCTAAAAGGAGAATTTTGGAACATATAGAAATCTAGATTAGTGTTACTCAAGCTTTAATCCAAAGATAGACTTTGAAACCCCGTTTGAAAAATTTTGCATTGAAAACTAAGCTCTGTCCCTCCAGAATACTTAGGTTAAATGTAATGTTAAGCATAGAAGCAAACGTTGTCACTGAAATCATAGCCTTACCCAGTTATGAGGTGGATGTCCAAGTAATCCAGAATATGTTTATGAAAATAACACAACCTTAAAAATATCGTCAGGGAATCTCAAATCCCTGAAAACAATCTTTAGATCCCAGTTTCAAAAATGCCATGCATGGTTCAGAAATCTCTTCTTTAACTTTATTGCCTTGATGAGAACTGCAAAAAGAAATTCAACCATCCTTTTTGCTTTATTTAGATTTTGTAAAATAGAAAAGAAGTAGTACAGGAAGATACGGACCATGAGGAACTTACTAAACAGACTAATGTGCTCACTTAAATGTGAGCTCATGTCAAAGGTTCTCAGAGAAGGAATATCATTTGTGTCAATTAAATTTCTGGCTGAATGTATCTGAAATATTTATTAAAACTCAATTATGAAAATTACGTAAATGATTTCTTGTAAATTTGAAAGGAGGGAAGAGATATACAGTAACTTCGGTTTTTCCATGAAACTTTCCTTTAATCCTAGTTTCAGCGTGTTAATGTAGCAGCCTTCCATCTCATCACAGGAAGGCATCAGAAAGCTGAGTGGTAGCCCAGCCTCTTCCCTAGCCATCTTCCTGAATAAACTGAAAGCCTATCACTTCCCTTTTCTGGACTGTGTTTTAGATTTCCTGTCTATTAAAATTGTAAATTTTGAAATTAATAACTCTTAGATTTTGCTACCAGAGTACTATTTTTGAATACCATCCAAGTGAGAAAGTGTATTTCTAAGTGCACAGGGTTTTAGCTTAAAGTCACGTATAAACATTGTTTATTGCTGTAAAGGGCTTCATTTTGAAGTCTGACATGGCCAGTTACTGGTATTTATTCAGTCCTTTAGATGAAATGGGTGTGTTTGAGACTGCCTTACTCCACAGACTGGTTCTGAAGTTTTGTTGCTTTTTTTGTTTGCCAGAGGGAAATTTGTCCACTAACAATTCCATTGGCCACTCTAATTTTAGAGTCAGATAAACACATAATAAGGTGGTTTTCTGTCTGGTCCTTGCATGATTTTTCTCTTCCTCTAGAGTACTTTTCTCCATCTCTCCATCCACAAATACTTGAGTGCTTTCTATGTGCAGGGCTGTATGCTAGATGTTAGGATAAATTTTTAAAAGTTGTAATATACAGCCCAAGAGCTTCCAGTGCAGTTGAAGTCTGTATACACGCAGCAAAGAGTTAAAAAGCTCTACAACACAAGGGCTGGTATGTGATACAGTATTTGATTAAGTGTCGTATGACTAAAGCAGACAATAAATGCGATGGCTTCAAAGGAGGGAGAGATCTCATCACAGTCCATACTGTAGTAGTTGAAAGATCTCTGTAGACTTGGCATTCATGAAAGCATTCACTTCGGGGCCAGATGCTGTATTCACACTTCAGTCAGTTAATCTGATGCACTGCAAAACTCATTCTCAAGTCCCATATTTTTGGGTGTTCTCCAAAAATTTGCCTCTTGAGAGTTGGCTTTATGTCTTTGAAACAGATGTGTACTTCTAGCTCTGCCTCAAGATGAAATGCAAGGTGTTGTATGACCTAAAAAGCTTTTTTTTTGCTGGATCAGTACGGGTTGCTCATAAGACAAATTTAAAAGTGGTCGGGAGTCTTCTGCCTAGCCAACAAAATGATCAGTTTCTTTAGGGATATTTCTTAGATTTATTTATCAGTCATTGTCATCATAACCTTTAGAACAAATTTGGTACTTTAGCAGACAAATAACATATAGTACATTTGGTCTTTCACTTCTGGCTCTCAAGCTTTGTCATTACTTGTTTGCGAGAACCACTAGGGTAAAGTGACATGGAGCCAGAAGATATCTTTGTCCCTGTATAAGCATTGTAATAGCCTCCACCCATCTCTGAGGACTTTCCTCTGATGTTTGCAGCCAAGATGGTACCTCTGTACTATCATTGGAAGATTTCCAAGAAATACGGAATATGGCTCAAATAGTTTGTAAGAAGGATTTAGTCAGATTTGTTTGCTTCCATTTTTTGACATATTCCTTTTTTGTTGTTCCCTTGCCACTGTCACCCAGAAGCTCGTGTGTTCCAGAATGCTTGCCTGCATGTGAATCTGATACAGGCTTGATGTGTATCTTTAGAGAATAGACCATCTTAGACTACCGAACGTACTCTTACAGTCTTTCCGTTTAGGAGGTAAGCATCTAATAAGCACATGTTAAAACTTAGGAGGAAGAGGCTTCCAGGCTTATTTCTTGACATTTTGGGAAATCTAGTGAAGACTGGAGTGAAATTATTATTGATCCTTCATTAAGAGGATGTGTAAAAGGAAAAAAGAACTTCAAAAGCACATAGTACAGTGCTATTTAATAAAACTTTCCGTGATGATGGAAATGTTCTATGTCTACCACAGTTCACTGTGATAGCCACCAGTCACTTGTGGCTCTTGAGACATTGGACTGTGATTTGTGTGCCAGAGGAAGGAATTTTAAGTTATATTTTGTTTTAAATAATTTAATCTTTTTAAAAATATTTTATTCATTTTAGAGATCGAGTGAGTGGGGCAGGAACAGAAGGGGAGGCCCTCGATCTCACGACCTTGAGATCATGACCTGAGCCGAAATTAAGAGTCAGACGCTTAACCGACTGAGCCATCCAGGCACCCCTTAAATTATTTTAATTTTAAATTATAAATGCCACATGTGGTTAGTGGCTACCATATTGAAC